GATGGTGACAGATAAAATTTTGTAGCTAATTTCGCTCCGTAATCAACACATGAGATGAGCATGAATAATTTATTATAAAATAAATGTTAATTTGTTTCTCAATTACTACGTAAAAAGATATAAAAAAGAATTATGAAACAACGAATAAAATATTTTTTTTCCATACTATGGTGTCTTTTTTGCAACATCTTTTCCATTCCTTAAACTTTGAAGTTACACGGAATCATAATGCGATACATGAAAGCATTAGAAACTAATGTATAAAAAACAACATAGTTATACGACTGCGAATCAAAGAGACAGTCTTGATACGTCGGTATAGAATTTACGGCTAAACCGGAAAACATAAATTTAGTCGCTTTGACTCCCGACTTTAAAGGATTACCCATTTCTTCGAAATTCGTTAAGACGAAGTCGATTGCATCTTCTAGCCCCTTAGAGATCGTTACACAAGAATACAAGTCGGATAGGGACTTACTCGGTTTTGGTTCCGAGTAGGATCTTATTCTCCATGAGAGAAGAAATGTTGGGACGGTTCTCTTCCCGAATGGGAAAGAGTATGGATGAAATCTCTTCCAAAGGAAAAAAATTACAAGGGTTGAAAACCCATAAAACTTTGTTATTCTTGATAAGGAGAAACCAGTTTGCTCAAAAACAGATGAAAGTTTTGAAACTCTTAGATATGAATCACTATACACCTTCATAGGCTGCATGGGCCACGCCCACCCGCAAGGTTTCATCTCGGTCAACAACTTGAGCTTGTTGAAGACGGTGTAGGTTCTCGGGTTGTCTTCAGTGGCGAATCTAGAGCTTTAGTAGGAGGTGCATTTGCCCACCATGATTTTTTGTTTTTTCATAATTTTCTTTAAGTAATTAAAATTTCTTGGGGAAATGCCCCCTGTAAAAATTAGTTAATTGCCCCTCATAAAAAAATTTTTTGCATTCGCCACTGGTTGTCTTCAAAGATGTCGTCATCGCATTAGATGGTGAGGAAACACATCGAAACAAAGACCAAATCCGGATAAATTAACGCAGTTTCATCTTCGGAGAGGATTGGCGGGAGATGCCGGTCAAGGACTGAGAACATTTTGAGCATCCAGATTCTCTCCATAGATACTATACTGGGACAAGCCCACATATTCATAATGCCTGTGGAGGTTGATCGGAGTAGTAGTGAGCATTTCGCCGGAGCACCACACCGGGCCGACGAAAACCATCTCCGATGAGACAGGGAGAAGACAACATGGCGAAGGAGAAGGTCTTCCAACTTTGTTGGGCCTTAGTAAATTAACAAACCCCTCTCGGCCCATCAATAGTGAGGCCGAATCTCGGCCCATCAAGAATGAGACCCATCGGTCCATTAAGGATGAGACCTAGTCTCGGCCCATCTCAACTTTTTGCACATCGTGGCCGGAGGACGGAGAAGTGGAGAGTCGGGCGAAGCAGCATGATCGGATTTTGCTCATAAGAGCCGAAGGATCTACAAGAAGCCTCGCCTGTTGATAGCAAGAGAGGAGAAAGAAGCATATCTGGTTGTAGAAGATCTCGTCCCAGGTCTCTCCGTGAAAATCCAAGTTGTCGACATCGGAAACGACGAGCATGTAAAGTTTTGAGTGCAGACGAGGGCGGTGATTGTTCCGATGGAGTTTTTAATGAAGATCGATGGTAGCCGGAGGGGTAACACGAACGGAGAGATAGATCTTCGGCTATTTCAACCGAGAAGGGAGTATGGACGGTGATGGAGCAAGATCCATAAAGAATCTGCATACTTTCGAGATGGTGGTGGACGGCGGAGGAAACCCGTGAGGTAAGGTAGGTTTTTGAGCACTGAGCCAAAAGAGACCCGATGAGCAGACACGAAGCGCGCGACAAAAGGGCAAAGATAACGGACCACCGTCCGATGCCGACGAGTCAGGGCTCCACCGGCGCCGGAAGAAGAAGATCTTATGGTTGCTTCAATATTTGCGCTAGAGAGAGTTTACGGGTAAGGCGAACCGTTGTGTTTATATCTTTGTCTTTTTTTCTTCTCCCAACCTAACAGAATACTATGGTGTCTTCTTAGTTCTAACAAAACAAAGAAAACAGCATAATTTAAGTTATTTATTTATTTTTGCTAAAAGGTAATTAAATATCTTTAGAATGAAAGGTAGATTTTACAGAAAAGTAATATCTATAAGTTATATTTCCTTGGCAAAAAAAAAGGTAACATAATTTTAAGTTGGTATCCATTCTTAACCCACATTAACTATAGGTATTGCTCGAAATCATCTTTAACTAAGCAGCAAACTAAATAAGAAAACCTACTTAAAAAATCATCTAATAACAACAAAAAAACAAATTATTTAAACTTGGCTTTCTCCTCTTCCAACTCAACTTTGAGATCGGACATCATGAGGTCAAGTTTGTTGAACTTTTGTTTAAGTTCCACAATTTTAGCTTCAGAATCATTACGTTTCTTCCTCTCCAACGAAACCTCTTCAAGCTTTAACTTCAACCAATCCAGCTTAAAACCGGCTTGCGTCAAATCAGACTTAATTCATACTCGGAGAGATTTTGCTTGTGATAAAGTGTCTGAATGGTCCTGAAGAGAACATTCATGTATGTTGTCCTGAGCTCTTGGTTTTGCAATTGAACATTCACTGCAGTTTCTTGGTGTGTCTTAAAAATCCAATTCGCTAACTCCACATGCGTAGGTTTAACAGTTAAACCATCGACATAGACATTGACAGGGACAATTGTTTTAATTTGTGTCTTTATTTGGTTCCTAATACTTGAAGAACTAAAGATCCGGGACCATAACAAATTAGCCATTGGTATGCTTTAGAAACTATATTAGGAATTGTGAG